GGGGATGGGAGAGCTGGGGCAGCTCGGGGCCGCCCCGCGTGCCTGGCAGACGGCACGCGCTCAATCTGACACCGGTTCTACTCCTCAGGACCTCGGAGGCAGGGAAGGCAAAGCACAAACTTTAGGGGGGGCGCGCGGCTCCGCCGGGAATCGGCGCCGATTTCTGTCCCCGCGCTCCAGCCCGGCCCGAGCCTCCCCAGCCTTCGGTCCTGTCGCTGCGGGGTGCCTGGGATGCAGCGGCGCGCGCCGCAACCCCACCGGCCACCTTTCTTCCCCCTCACCCCCCTTCGCCTCAGCTGTGCTCTCCCTGGCAAGGGTTAGAGTAGGGGGATGGGGGCGGGGTCCCGCTCTCGCGGGATCTGCTAAAGACAGCCCCCCGCCACACACCCCCCCTCCCTGCCCCAACACAGACCTCGCGTTATTTGGGACTGGCAGGTTGAGGCTACTCGCGGGAGGCGGAGCTGGGGGTGTGGGGGGTGGGGAGGAAAGGGGGGCGTTTCGGCGACTTGTTGATCTCCGGCGTCACAGCTGGACCGGTGCCCCGGGGCTCCCGCATCTCGTGCGCATGCTCCGCGCCCTGGGTCGGCGGTGAGGAGGCGAGCCAGCCGGGTCCTGGGCAGCCCTCCCCCCCCCTCCCCGGAGGCCGCCTGAGGCGGCGGCGGCGGTCGTCGTTGTTGTGGTGGTGCCGACGTCACGAGGGGCCCTGGCCGCAGACGTGGTGGGCTTGGCCGATGTTTTGGAGCTGCTGCACAACCCGTTTGGAGCGAGCTGGCGACGCCAGGTCCAGGTAAGGCTCCGAAACACCTTCCTTCCCCTCAGCCCCTGGCCGAAATGAGCAGGAATGGCGAGGTTGCCCGCGGCGGTGTGAGGACGAGGGCGCCCGGGCCGAGCCCCTGCCGAGCGTGACCGGGGTGACGGGTGGGGAGGGAAACTGGGGGGATGTGCGGGGCGGGGGGGCGGTGTAAGGATGCGGAGGGGGCGGGGCTGGCTCCTCTTCTTCCCCTGCCCCTCCCACCCCCATCTCGGCTGCATTTTTGGTGCGCCACTGACTGGGAGCTCTCGACCTGCGGATGCTCCTGGTGCTGCTAGCACAGCTGCTGCTGCTGCTGCAAGTAAACAAGCAGCTGGAGGTGCTGCGAGCCCTGCATTTTGTGCACCTAAGGCATCCCGTGGGAGGTGGGGCGGGGTGTGCAAACCTGGCCAGAGGAACCTGGGGGCAGAAGCGCACTAACTAGACTGTGACCCCTCCTCCCTCATCCCCCCATTGCTATACAAAGGCTATTAGGGAGTAATGCAAGATTTCTTAAAAGTGGAAAACCGATTATTGAACGGGTCTGGGGGTGGGGGGCGCGGTTGCGGCTCAAGGAAAAGATTTAAAGGTCAAGCAAGGGAGTAAAAGAAGTGCTTGCTCAATACAGGAGTAGAGTGAAAGTTACACCAACTGAAGGTACTTTCGGACCCACTCCCCAGCATTAGCGGTAGGTAAAAAATATGTACAACAGCAATTATCAGATGTACTTGTGAGGAAGTAATACCCGTTTGTATTAGATATAGCCTTTTTGAAAATGTAAAAATTTTAAAATTGCGTTGTAAATGTGAAAACTACCGAATGTGAAATTCTACCGAATGTGAAACTAAAACGAGAAACTTTCGATATTAAGGAAATAGAGCAGAAATTCTTGAAGTATTTGGCAGAACCGGGTCTAGAACTCGTTCTGTGATCATCTATCTATACGCATATACATGCACTACATTATGTAGCTTTAACTTATGTTTCATTTCTAGTGTTAAAATAAATTTGCCTTCCATAAGCTCAGATTTGTTAGTTAAGGAAAGATGAGAAAGAACGGTAACCTTAGAAGTATATTGTATTGCAAAGAAAAATAAGCAAAGGATTGAAAATGTTTATGAGTAAACCACAGAGTTATTTGGATTTGGATAAATGGTAGTTGACTTCTGTCTAATAAACGTCAGAAAACTAGCTGATTAAGATTGCATTGAACATTTCTTAGAAGAAATGCTTTTGGAAATTGCATTGATTGATACTTCATTTGCCTAATTTTTTGTTGTTTAACATTTTATACTATGTACTGAGTACAATTTTATGCTTTGAGGGCATGTTAATATGACTGATCTTTACTCAAGCTTAGGACAATACAGGCAACACAGTCTCATTTTTTAAAAAAAAACTTAATGTTAAAAGGAATTGTAAGCCTCTAGGACAGAGGTGGGACTTTAATTAATGGACATTGTGATGTACAGAATTGTGATAGACTTGATATTCTTTTGAAATACTTCAAAATCTGTAAATAAGTCAAAATAAATGAAAATAAAGAAATGAATAATTCCATTAGACTTAATCATTCTTGTACTCTGGAGCTTTAGTCCTTTGCATATCAACCTGATTTGAAAATAAAGAAGAGAAAGAAGACTGACTAGGTAGGAAACTTAAAATCGTTTTATGGAAGTTATCAAGATTTGGATGGAGGTGAAGAAGAAAGAACAAATTAGAAACTCGTTGAAGGAAAAGGCATGGGAATTGGATAGAACAAGGAAGATGCAAAGATTGTCATGGTTTCTGCCCAGGAGAATGAAAGAATGGAGAATTAGAGAAATGAGATAATTGGAAAGAGCTGATTTCAGAAGAAATTATTTGTTTTAGACATAGAATCATATAGTAAGTGCTGTGTCTTGGTTATGGTTTGTTTTGTATACTTTTAATTTTAATTGAATTGTTATAGAAGGAATTTCAGGATCAATCCAATTCAATTTTTTTTCGTTTAGAGATTAAGAAACTAAAAGCTAAAGAGGTTAAGTGATTTAACCAAAGTGGCAGAGCTGAGTCTTTGTTTCCAAGGGATTAGCAGCTTTTTAAGAGAGAACCAACAAATTCTCTGACATTGTAAAAATAACTTTTTAAATAGCATTATTACAGGGGAGGAGAATCTGCTGCCTCCGAGGCCACATGTGGCCCTCTTAGGTCCTCAAGTTCTGCCCTTTGACTGAATCCAAACTTCACAGAGGCTATATATAAACCTTTTTGTCTGATGTGTTCTTATCTCATAAGTTAACCATAGCTGTGAAATCTTTGGCATGAATTGAAAATTTTACATGTGCTTTTTTGTTGTTCCAGACCTTTGGTGATTTCATCCAGCTGGAGAACTTCAGTATGCAAACTCCCTCCATTGATGAAGATCAGCAACTTATCTATAATTTATAGTCTTGTAGAGTTGCCCTGGGGGTACTGAGAAGTTCTATGACTTGCCCTTAGTAACAAAGTGTGTGTTTAAAGTGGGATTTGAATCTTGGTGTTTGTAATTCTAGGGCAGGTGGCCAAGTTTGCTTTTCTAGTATGCAAATACAATTGATAAATAAGCAATCAGCTATTAAATATGTATCAAGAACCTGCTAGATACTGTTCTTGGTAGGAATGCAAAGTCAAAAAAAAAATTCCCTGCTCTTAAGGAGCTTACATTTTATGGAGTTGACAACTTGTATATTATATGGACAAAATACAAGGTAATTTTGAAGGTGGTATTTGTTATTAGCAGCTAGAGGGCATCAGGAAAGTCAAAATTTAGGTGGTTAGGAGGTGCCACTTTGAAGGAAACCGGTGATTCTTTGAGTTGAGGGAGTGCATTCCATGTATGTGGGATAGATAGCCTTTGCAAAGATGCAGATAAGACTTGACATTTTATGTGAAAGGAACATCCGGAAGGCCAGTTTGACTAGATTGTAAAGTGTGTGAAGGGAAGTAATGTGTAATAAGCTAGAAAGGTAAGTTGCAACTATGTTGTGAAGGGCTTTAAAGGACAAAAAGAGAAGTTTGTATTTGATTCAAATTTAATAGGGGCCCCCTGAAGTTTATTTAGGAACGGGTGAGGCCTGTGTTTTTATATCACTGACAGCAGTGTGGAGGGGGGATTGGGAAGGGGAGACACTTCTAATTGGGCAAGCAGCTTGATTGGAGGAAGCACCTTAAATGTTCAGGTAAAAGGTCCTGATACAGGGATATGTGAAATGAGGGAGCGAAAGAGTTGAGGATAACAACAATGTTGCAAATCTGGCTGATGTCATTCCTGCATTTGATAGAAATAGGAAAATTTAAGAAGGCCTGGGGGTGTAAGGGGGGGAAGAATCTCAGTTCTGTTTTGTACACCTTGAGTTTAAGATAATTACATATGTATTTTTATACATAGCACAGGTATGCATATAAATTTTACATGCATAATTTTCAGTTAAAGTCAGGGATTTAATATAGCTTCATGTTCTGTGTATTTTAATTATATAATTTATGAAAGTTAATACAATAGAAAATTATCTCTCTGAAGACTAGGAACTGGAAGTAGAGCGCTGAGGGAGAACTTCCTTCTATTAGTTAAATAAGTTCACATACTAGCTTTTTGTCACCTTGGAAGACAAGACATGAGGAGTTCTTGTTCTGAGAGAATGAGGTATAGAATAAGAGAGAACAAAGGTGGAAGAGGGAAGCCAGAGGGGATGGACAGTGACTTAAGATGAAGCCCACTGGGACACCCTCAGTAGTATCTCTGAGCTTTGCTGTGAAGATCAGAGAGCAGGGGACATAGGGCTAATCGTAAGACTGCCAGACAGCATGAGAGAAGCTGCTGGTCTTTTAAACGATTAGAATCCATTGTTTCTAATAGTAATGTAATTTGCCTGTTATTGTGATTAGTCCACATGCACATAGAGCAGACTTATTTTATCATTTTGACTATAAGAACTTTAGGTACATTCTTAAAGGTGCTCAGAGCCGCAGCAGCTTTATGATGGTTGAAATTTTCTTTTCCCTTAGCTTCTGTAATAGAGTACTCACTTAATTTTCCTCTTATCTTTTCAATAACGTTTAATGTTTCCTTTAGTAGCTCCCCTTCCTGCCTGCTAAACTTGAGATATTCTTTATAGTCTAGACCTATTCTCTGTGTATGTTATCCTATTATTTTATTCATTCCCATGGCTGCAACTATCAAATACTATGTAGTTGGTATAAATCTGTATCTATAGTTCTGCTATCTTTCCAGAGCTACAGACCTAATGATTCCAACTGCTTATAAAAACATTTGTGTTTGAGGTGTCAGCATATTTCATAAGTAGGTTCATCTTATTTCCTTCCCAGACCTGCCCTCCAGATGATTTTCTTAAACTGCAAGTCTGACCATCTCACTGGGCTACTGCCTAAATTCCAGTGGGTCCTTTAGGGAAAAATACAAAACTCTCATTTTGTATTTAAAACTCACCAGTACCTGGTCCCAACATATCTTTTCAGCCTTATTTTATTTCATTTCAGTCCTTTTCCCAAACTTTATGTTCCTACCCTAACTGGATTTTGTGCAGGTCCTCACAAATAACATTCAGTTTTCTAGCTCCATGCTTTTGCATTGACTCTCCCCCATGCCTCAACCTCTGCTTCTAAGAAAGGTAGGTTTCTTTCCTCTGGATTCAGTTCAAGTGTCATACCATAGCTCATATTCCATCTCTTCTAAAATCACATATGTTTTGTATATGATCATTTGTGTCCATGGTGGTTGTGTCCACCAGTAGTATATAAGCTTCCTGGGGACAGGAATTGTTTCATTTTTATATTTGTGTCCCTGGCACTTTGGACAGTGTTTAGCACATAGTAGGCACCTAAGAAGGGGGCAGCTCTGTGGCCTGGTACATAGAGCACTGGGATTGGAATCAGAAAGACTCTTCTTCTTGAGTTCAAGTCTGGCTTCAGACACTTATGAGTTGTGTGACCCAGGGCAAGTCACTTAACACTGTGCCTCAGTTTCCTCATCTGTAAAATAAGCTGGAGAAAGAAATGACAAATCACTCCAGTATCTTTGCCAAAAAAACTCCAAATGGGGTCAAGAAGAGTTGGATGTGACTGAAAGAACTCAACAACAAGCGCTTAAGAAATGCTTGTTGGTTTGGGTCCATTTCTATTTCTTCATACAGGACATTTTCTAAACCTATGACTGTTATATCACCAGACTCTCCCAGTTACTTACCTTTTGACTCCTCCATGTCTTTTCCCTTACCCATATAATCATTTTCTAAGTCTTGCTGATTCTACTAAAATATCTCTTAAATAGCCTCATCACTTTTAATAATATTTCATAAAATATTTATTTTAGTCAGCCAAGATCTGCCTTCTCCCACCCCCCAAAAAAAGCCCACATAAAACAGATTACAAACATTTATAGTCAATCAAAACATCTTTCTACATTGACTACAATCATCCCACCTCAAAAAAAAAATTTGTCACATTTTTCATTTTGAATCCTTGACCTCTATCAGGAATTGTGTAGCATGATTCATCATTAGTCTTCTATAATTGAGGTTGGTTTTGCTGGTAAGAGTTTGTAGCACAATATTATTCCTTCATATTTATTTATATATCATAACTTATTTATCAGTTCACCCCCCAAAATTACTATTCCTTGCCACCTCAAAAAAGAGCTGTATTTTTGTATGTAATTAGTACAAAGTTTGTTATGCAAAGAACTAATCCCTTCCTTAACCTTTTCTCCCCCCTCCATTTCTCTTTCTCTATTTCTATGTTGAGTAAAATGTACTATAGCTCAACTGTTTCTGTATATATTCTTCCTTTTTTGACCAGTTCAGATGAGAATGAGGTTCAAGTTTCAGCCCACCCTTGTTTGTATAGATATTTACTTGTGTACCCCATTCCTTCCTATTCCTCTTTTCCCTTTTCATTCTTTTCTTAAGATTATCAAGACATTATGTCTTGGTAAGTGGTTCTGTTTGAACCACTCTCAGGCCTTGTCATTGGATTTTCTCTGTGAACCTTGAAGATGGTAGGGATCAGAAGGGACATATGTATCATTTCCACATTGTGTGTGTGTGTGTGTGTGTGTGTGTGTGTGTGTGTGTGTATGTATGTATTTGTCCTGGAAACTCTGGATTTTGATTGTGATATTCCTGTGAGTTTTCATTTTGCGGTTTTCTTCAAGTAATGACTAGTGGATTTTTTTTTCTGTTTCTGCTTTGCTCTCTAGTTCTAAGAGAACTAGAAGTTTTATTTAATATTTTTTTGTAATATAATGTGTAGGCTCTGGTTTTGATCACGTATTGACATAGTCCAGTGATTATGAAGTTTTTTCTTCTGTTTTCAGGTCAGTTGTTTTTGCTGCAATATAACTTCTATTTTTCTTCTGGCCTTCCCCCCCACCCCCGACTTTTTTGGTATTCTTGTTATTTCATGGAATCATTAGTTTCTCTTTGGTCCATTCTAATTTTTAGGGAGTTTTTGCTTGGGCAAGGTTTTATACCTCTTGTGTCATGCCATTAAATTCCCTTTGCAGTTGTTTCTAACATTGCATTCATTCTTTTCCAAATTTTTTCTCAAGTGCTCCTTTATAAGAAACAGTTAAAAAATTTTTTTAAAAATCTTGTTTCATCTCTTCTAGGCATTCCAGTTGAGTTTGTGCCCAAGCTATGTTTTTCTCTGATACTTTGTAGATATTTTGGAGTCATTCTCATCTGAGTTTGTGTCTTGAACTTCCCTGCCTCCAATAATAGCTCTTTATGATGGAATTCTTTTGTTTGCTTATTCTTCCAGTCTGCCTCCTGACTTCAGATTTGATGTTAGAGATGTTCTCTCCTCATTTCTGGAGCTACTTCTTTGGAGTATTGAGGGTTGTGTTATTCCAGGATCTCAGGGAACAGTCAGGGAACTAAAAGTTTAGTGTTCCAGGGCAAGTCTGATTGGTGCTACCCCTGATTGCTGCTCTGCAGGTTCTTGAGGTGGGCTTGGGTCTGTGTAACAAGTTTGGATTTTCATTGAAATGCTGCTAGACCCCTACCAGCCAGCTGATTCAGAGTGGCAGAATTCTAGGGGCACCCATTCTGTCGGGGTTGTTCTGGTTATTCTTTTGAATGCTGGGCTAGATGCTGGAAATGAGATCCTGTTTTGCAGTGTTCTGCACCTGAAGTCTGAACCACACCACTATTGCTACTGCTGGTTTTTGAATTTCATGCTTTCTCTACCACCACCTAGGGCCTCCCTACCTGGGACTCCCACGCCTGTGTGCAGATCTATTTTGTCAGTCTTCACAGATCTGTGACATGAAACTCAGTGCTGGGCGACAGAATTGCCACCTTGCACCTATTCTGCATAAAGTCCACTGGTTTGGGTCTGTGGATGCCCTGGTCGGGATCTGGGACCTCCTTTTGTGTCCCCGGTGCACAGCCCCACCCTGGGCTCCCTGGGGTGCTGGCCTGGAGCACTCCTGGTTTAAGTGTCTGCAGACCTCCCTGTCCTCCAATGCCAAGCTGGGCTGGACAAATAATTTCCTGTGCCTTTTTCCTGGATTTCCTCAGGCTGGAGCATTTTCTAGATCTATTGAGAGGAGTTTTAAGGAGGTGAGCTTGCTGAATTGCTTCTTACCACTCCTCCCCTTATCCCCTTACTTTTCTACCACTTTAGTTTAAGCACAGATTCTTTCCCCTGGAATATTGCAGTAATGTGATTTCAAACTGCCAGCTGCCCTTCTTATACCTTTCCTTCTGTCTAGAATGCCCTTTTACCCCATTTCTCTCTGTTGGAAATCTTTAAGGCTCAGCTTGAACGCTACATTTTCCATGATGCTTTCCCTACTACCTCCAACTACAAGTTAACTCTTTAGGCCTAAGAGTTCTTGTAGTATCATATGCCTATTTGATAGTTATTTTTATTCTATCTTATATTGTAGTTGTTTGTGTATGGGTTTTAACTTGAACTTCCTTATCCCTTCAATAAATGTGTGAATGGTATCAGTGGGTAATTCCCCATCATAGACAATAGACTTACAATAGATGCCCTTGTTGGCTATTTAGAAATAACTTGGAGATTCTAAAGAAAGCACAAAGGTGGGAAAAAGAGCTGCTAATAGAGAGCATAGGAAGTGTCCCTCCTTTTGTGTACCTCATTCTCTCAGGACCCCAGAATCTTATTTGGAGGCAAATCTGAACTTACTTTGGCTTTGCCTCTTTTTACCTGTGTGAACGTTGAGGAGTCATTTAACTTTCCTGGGCCTAAATTTCTTCATCTGTAAAATTAAGGAGCTGGCTACAAAGCAAAGAACAGTGGCTTTGGAGTCAGAGCATCTTGGCTCATATTCTGCCTATGCCACTACTTGTGTGAACCTTGACGTGTAAATTGTTCCCTAAGCTTCAGTTTCCTCATCTTTAAAGTGAGGATGTTGGACTAGATGGTCCCTCCTAATTCCGTCTGGCTCTATGACTTGTCTCTAGTGTTCCTTCCAACTTAAAAACTCTCCTATAAAATCCTAAAACATTAGGGAAAAACATGTCATATCCCAGTTTTAGACTACCAGTTCATAAATGAAGACAGGCAAGTGAGGATGTCCTTTCACAAAGCACAGTATACTTGTGCCCATGTGTGACTGCAGAAGATTTATGCTCAGGATACAAAGGAGCTTGGAATTTTTCAGGCTGATTGTCACATCATAATTCTACAATTTTGCTGCAAGGAAAAGACACATACTTGCCTGTTTCCCTCTATGTGTGTACATCTGAGTCAGAGTCACTGATGATAAGAGTTCTTAAGGACTAGAAGCTTTTTAATGATGACTAGAATATTTTTATTGTGTAATTCAAGTGTATTATTTTGAATAAAATTAGACAGTAATCTTTGGTGATATCAGATGACTCTGATAAACAATCAGTTGTAATCCAGTTGGCCATATTGTGCAGAAAGCCTAGAATCTTGGTGACCATATATATTCGGTTGCTGTTGAATTGAGTAAACATTATTTTGAGGCAAAGTGATGTAATTGCAAGAGTTGTTGGAGATGAAGTCAGGAGAGACATGTCTGAATTATTATTTGTTTTTTGACATGGTAAATTTAATAATAATAATAAATATGTAGTGTTTACTATGTGCTAGACACTGCAAAATGCTTTAACGATTATTATTTCATTTGATCTTCACAACAAATGTGGGAGATAGGTACTGTTATTCCCATTTTAGATGAGGAAAGTAAGTGCTTAATAAATGTTTATTGACTGAGTGATTGAGTGAGGCAAAGTGACTTGCCTAGCTACTAAGGGTCTGAGGCCAGATTTGAATGAATGCTTCTTGACTCTAGGCCTTTACTCTATCCACAGTACCACCAAGCTGCCTAGTTCAGAAATGTAAATTAATTGCTGGTGTAAAGGTTAACATGTATCCTTTCCCTTTTGAGTATTTTTTAGTTTTCTTCTGAACTATTTCATGAGTTTGAATGTTCTAACTAGATGATAAAGCTCCCTCCAGTGAAAGCAGGGACTGTCCTTATTTAAATTTTGTATATTTGCAAATTTTTAAGGCACTATTATAAATGCTAGCTATTGCAAAAACAGTTGCCAGATTTTGTCATTTTCCACTTCCTCATCTCTTACTTCTGTCCCAGAGAACTAACCCAAATAGA